ATTTTTGCACTCAGTCCATATGTTTATTCAATAAGTGGGTTCAATACCATACACAAGAAGTCATCATGTGGATAATAATATAACGCTGAAAGATGGCTTATCACTGAACAGTCCATGAAAAGTGCAGGTCAGCACATCCCTGACTGGCAAAGATGGCAACAGATGTGCTTCAGGATTTTGCGATGGGTGACCTATCCTGAGGTCACTTTATCTATCTATCTATATATATATATATATATATATCTGACAAGGATAGTCACTCATTTCCTTCTTGTTGTTTCATTTAACTTCTCCAATATCTATTTTCATGGGATCAATTTCAATAAAGCCATACTATATATAGAAGTCAGAAACTGAACCTTCTCTTCAACAGCACATTATTTACGGCTGTCAGTAGTAACTATGTCTTAGTTGAAATTACAATGACTTCACATGTATGGGAATAAAATCATGACTTCATAAATTTGATTAAAGTGAAGTCTACACAGGAGAAGCATTAGTGAAAACAATCAGGTCATATAAGTGCCGAAGATTAGAGGTGTTACAACAGAGTAACAAACACAAAAAAGAAGTAGAGATAAGGATGACAGATATTTGATAGGAAAGAAGGAGCAAATCACACCACAGCACCCGCCTACTACCCACTGATTGAAAACTGTTGATTGTACACTCTTTTTCTGACAACACGGTAGATAGAAACCAAAGTCTGTTACCTAGCCACTCATTTTGTTGTTGTTAAATGTAGCTTCTCCACTATCAATTTTCATGTAGAACCAATGGGGTCCAATTTCAATAAAACCATATTATATTTAGAAATCTTACACCGACCCTTCTCTTCAACAACGCATTATTTACTGCTATCAAACAGAACTATGTCTTAGCTGAGGATTTTCAAAAAGTCTCCCAGCATTCATATGTCTACCATCCAACTACCTAGACCTTAATTAGTTTGAAACTGTCCAAAATGGGTAACCATTGTCGGGGAGAAAAGTGGTAGTCTTGGACATATGGATATCTTGAACAGTGTCATTATAATCTAGCTTTTACAATGTGAGGGGGGAAAGGGGAAGGGATAGTTTATACAGGTGATCGTCTTAGACAAGTGGCCATAAACAGAAGGTCAGACTGTCTTTGGATAACGCAAAGAATCAACATAAAGGGAAAAAAAATGGAAAAGTAAATGTTGATCACACAATGCACATATAATGCAGCAGAAGCCTTTGCCAAAAGAGAGAGGAACAGGCACCAGGATTCAAGCAGACCGGTCAGCTCGGGGAGGGGGGAGGGGGCGCACCACAAACGAAAGAGGCATCCGGGGTCTACGGGATGACCAAAACACCCTCAAACTGGAGAAATCTTGGACATATAAACAGTGACAGTACTTTTCTTCCTAGGATGCTGACCTTCTTCAAAGGGCCGAAGGTCAACCTTGAGCTTGAGGCAAGGGTCAGCAGCACACTGGAAGGCAGCGTCCATGTCCCAGTCAGAGAGCATGGACAGATAGACGGCCTGACCCTCCGAGTCCCGGGCCAGATAGCTGATCGTGAAGTCACTGGGGATGGATACAAAGAGAATCATGCTCTGAATTAAGACAGATATATAAAATCAACTGCTTAGTTAAGAGTAAGACTCCGTCATACACTATCTTGAAAAGTGACTATGACGTAGTCTAGCGCTGAGCAGATGATATATACAGTCAAAATTGTCTAAGAAAGCCACCCAATGTTGAGAAGAAAAGTGCTTTCCTTAGACAGGTGCATGTCTTGGACAGTGTGTTACAAAATCTTTTTAATGCAGAGCAAGAAGTGGGAATTGGTCATTTGTACAGGTGATACTATTGGTCAGGCAGCCGCTAGAGCACGTTCGCGGGCAGTTTTTTGTTGCTTATTTTAGAGCATCTTAGGTGGACAAAAGAATAGGTTCAACTGCAGGTTTTTGGCGCTTTTTTTAGAGCATCCAAGTAGAAATGAATTAATGACAAACCATGGTAATGGATGTTCATTTCAGATCTGGTATTTAATTTTTTTTTAAAGAAGAAATAATTAATTGACACTTCATTGGAGGTATTGACAGTGTGCTTTAATGAGCTTCTGCAGCACAAAATAAACACCTTCACATTTTTCCCAACATATTAAGTAGAAGTCTGAAACATTTTTGGAAACAACCCTGCCAACAAAAGTTTTCAGCACAATGTCCACAGAAGCTGAGACAATACTCATTTCTCCTAAGTTTTATCTGAGACGTTTTGCTGAAACCAAACTACTACTCCCATTATATCACCTCACTGACCCTTATTGGGTTATGATTACATGTAAGAGACGTGTTAAATACTTTTTGACATGTTCTCAAAAGAACTCTTTCTTCAATATAGTGTGTGTGTGTGTGTGTGTGTGTGTGTGTGTGTGTGTGTGTGTGTGTGTGTGTGTGTGTGTGTGCGTGCGCGCGCGTGTGCATTTGTGTATACTTGCATGAATGTGTGTGTGTCTCTGTACAGAAAAAAAAACCCTGACACTACAGCATACCTGTTGATTTCAAATGCCCTGGCGAGGATGCCTTGTAACATCTCAAAAGATGTGATTTGAGGGTCGATGGAAAACTTTTTGTACTCAGGCTGCATCTTGCCATCGCACTTCTGAAAAGGATAAAGAAAGTCAAATTTGTAGCCTTTTTTTCCTTTGGAGGTGTGATGCTCACATTGTGAATATTGGATTGTGAAGTAGTGCAGGAAAAACTATGTTACGTTAGATTAAAGTGAGGCGAGGCAGGCTAGAATTAAGGTATGATGAGTAGGTGTCTGCAGGGTAAGATAAAGTGAAAAGAGTGGGATGATGTGGGAAGGATGGGGTGAGGTGAGGTGACATGAAGTGGGTAGGATGGGGGGGGGGGAGAGACGTAGGATGAGATGAAGAGAGCAGGATGAGGGGAGTAGGATGGGGGGAGGTGAAGTGGTATGAAGGGGGTGGGTATGGGTGAGGTGTGGTGAGATGAAATGGGCAGGATGAGGTGAGATGAAGTGGGTAGGATGGGGTGAGGTAAGATGGGGTCAAGTTGGGTAAGATGTCGGGAAGGGATGTGAGACAGAGTTGGGTCTGGTCATGCCAGGTCAATTCAGGTCATGACATATTACGTCAGGTTAGGTTCTGTCAGGTCATGAAGGATGAGACAAGGTGAAGAGAAGTTGGCTAGATCAGGTTTTTGTTTTTGGTATGAGTCTTACGGCGCTTGTAACTGCATAAAGGTCATATGAGCGCCCGGGACACATTAAACATTTTCAGTTGGCAGACAATTTTGAATTTTGCCTCGGTGGCAGCCGAAGCCTATTCTTGTTGATTTTAGACCACCAAAAGATCTTTAACTTGCGCAACTTGCACACGGGACCTCCGAATTTTTCGCCCTTGTCCGAGAAGGCTAGGTGCAGATCTCAGGGTGCGGTTGAAAGACAGCAGTAAGAAGGAGCTAAGGAGTAGCAGGACAGAGGCTGCAGAAAGAGTCAGGAGCCTTGAGGAGGGGGCTATGGAGGTGAGGGGGTGGGGGCAGAAAGTGGAGATGAAAGCAGACGACAGAACATTGCTAGAGATCAGGAAAGGAAGTTAAAGGAGACAATTTTAGAGAGGAAACTTTTTTCAAACACAACCCGGATTCGAACCCGGGATCTTTGAATGAAAGAGAGGCGAAAACCTTAACCTCAAGGCCACGAGAGCCCCTAGGCCAGTTATGGAAGAGTGGAATGGAGCAGCGTTTCTTTAAGTTTTAGTAACACTTTTACAGCCACTTGCATCACAATTAAGTCACATAGGTGTTGAGTTTGGGTAAAGTGAAGAACATTGACCAAATAACGGTCATATAATGCAGAGAAGAATCAAGACAGAAGCAACAGAGGGAAAGAAAAGAATAGGGATCTACCAGTAGCACTTTCCAAGAACCAGGTAAGTGCTGAGGAATAAAGTTGTTACAAGAGAGTAATCAACAAACAAACAAAAAAGAAAAAGAAAAAAAAAAGAAGCGGCAGCGATTAAGATGATAGATGTTTGATGGGAAAGATGGAGTAAACCACACCAGAGCGCCCACCAACCACCCTCATGGAGCAGGGTGGTGGGTATAAGATTTGGGGGGACGGGAGAGGCATGAAAAGGGGTGAAGTTGAGTGGGATGGGTGACGTGAAAAGGTATGACAGGTTGAAGCAAAATGACATGGGCAGTGAGGCTAGGTGGGCGAGCTGAGGTGAGGTGAGGTGAGAAAAGCATGACGTGACAGGAAGGAAAGTGATTAGGGATAAATTTCAGTTGTCTGTGGACTGAGAGATGAAGACACAAGTAAAGGTTAAGTAATAAATATGACGTAAGGCATGTATGTCTCCTCTCGGCTAATCTTTTTCAGCAAAAAACAGTCTCCTCCTACTCCAACCCTTTTATCGTAATGTCAGTTTTACTCAAATAAGGACAATGCATGTTGTTCATCTCTAAAAAAAAAATATTTTAAAAAGCTTATAAAAGGGTTTTAAAAGAAAGGGTGAAGGTCACACCAAAGCCAAAGTGTAAAAGTCCACCCTTGTCCCAAATACGCATACTACGTTTCTAGGTCATCACCGAGACCGAAAAACAAGGGTTCATTAACACTTTGCACCCAGCATCAGATACCAGGGCAACAAAGGAGGGAACAAACATGTTTCACTACACTGTCAGGCAAATGACTTCATATCTGATGACCTGTCACTTTACTGGCTAACCTTGACCGTGTCCTAGTGAAATTATCAACGCAACGTAAATTCACAAGTGGGGCTGAAGATAAGCTTTACAAAGGCGAGCGAGACCGTTGTACCGTACTTTGCGAAAAAGCATCCATCTCCGATAGATCAGAGCCAAAATGGGGGGGGGGGGGGGGGACTCGTAAAGTACCTTTCTTTCAAAGGAAACAACGTCAGACTGAGCTGAGTCCCCAACCCACAACCTCAAGATTTCAAGTCCCGTGGCGCCCTAAACCACTAGACTTACCTAGAGTACCGACGCCACGCCTTGGTAGTACTTTTAGTTGATCAGTTAGCGCAGAAAACTAGATCTAATAGGAAACTGTCGAGCATAAGTTTTAAGTTCCTTTCGTCACAGTATTTTATTTGTTCGTGTAAAGAGAAGCACATCGACACATTTAGTGATCATTAAGTGCTGGGAAAGAGTAAGACAGACAGAAACATCAGAAGGAAAGTAAGGAAGTAGGATCTTCTCAGTCTAGTAGCGCGCTCCAACCACCCGCTTCGTCACAGCAGAGGTTATAAATGAAACAAAGCTTTCCAACGTGAGTCCACAAATAGAACAGAATGGAACACTCCAAAGCGATGAAAAAAATCAACAATTTCTGTTACAATATTTGTTAAAATGATGCTGCAGCACATATAATCTACGTACCGACAATCATTTGTATACGATTTGGGGAATAAAAAACTCCAAAAGTTGGAAACATTACACAAATATTATTTGAGTCAATGTGGAAGAAGTAGAAGTAGCAAACGACAACCCATCAGCACACAAGTCATGAGCCTGAAAAGCTAAGACGCCCAGAAGTAGGGGAGGTCAACGGACAGGATTATAAAAGATCAGCCGAGAACACACTATAAATCTTTTACGACTCCAGCGACACAGTTTAGATCATTTCGGGAGAACAGCTGCTTCCATCCTGCTTGCCAACCCGAACCGAGCGGGATACAGCATCCAAAAAGACGGAGATGCTTGATAATATTAACTTCCTCACAATTCTAATGCGCGTAACGGCGAAGCACGAGTACGAAGAACCTATCCATTACACGACAAACGTCAGGAGAGGGAGACAGAGGAGAAGGGGGATGAGGGGGAGTGGAGGTAGTGGTAGTAGGTAATAGGTACACTTCACTTTATTAACCTGCCTTTGACAATGAATGTAGGCTATGGCTATAGCCCTTTTGATAAACTTGTCCACACATCAATGCAAACTATTAATATTATTGTACATCAAATTTTATCGAGGCGTCCTAAACTAGCATCGTTGTGCCTTTCTTCTAGTTTTCTGCTGTCCTCGGGAACAGAGATACTGCCTAATTAACAGAGTCAACAAATCAGTTCCCAACAACGGTAGTCTACTTCTAACAAACGTCTACTCAATAATAGTGTTGAAATGTAGATGTAGACACAATTTAGATCATTTAGAAGGCAGCTTACGACCCTGCCTGTAAGGGCCAACCAGGACAGAGAGGTATTACAACAGCAACGGTACCGGCACGCTAATAGTGCTCGAATAAGGCACTCAAACTTAACCAACATCAGCACACCACCCATTTAACGCGAGGCTTACTCATTCATAATATTCAAGCTTCGCAGTAAAAATATTGATTTCTTACAAGTTGACCCTCTCGAATGTGGCAAATGCGGTAAGTAGTTTTTTAAAAATGCACAGTTCGGACCAACAATTAAAACATTTGCCACCTGTCGCTTCAGGCAAAAAACTACTCAAGCTTCAATGTGTTTCAATCGCAAAACTAAATCACTTCAAGAAGTTAATAAAAGCAAGGGGAAAGACATGATGTATACAATATACTTTGAAGTTATCCTGTGTGACTAGCTGACAGTTGCCTTGCCATTCACGATCCAGCTTGTCAATCAGAACGAAACCCAAAGCTCAATTATTTTTATAAATATATCGGTAATAAAAATATCTATATCACACATGCACCTTAATTAATCCCTGCGAGAGCTGGGGGGGGGGGGGGGAGTAATATGGCATATATATAGCAGGCAATAATCCTGAAACATCACAGGCGAGGCCACACAAAGACAGACAATCAGACGCCACTGTTGCCAAAGTACATCGCCCTATTTTAATTCTTTTTTTTAAGCTACAGTTATCATATTTTGTTCAAGGACACCCCACAAAGACCACCCATCTAAATGATGTGTCACTGGCGTATGCTTGAAATTGCTGTAAGTCTGAGCTCTCTAACCACCAGGCCACTTAATCTGGAAAGAAGACATCTACGCTATTCGGTTCAACTATGTAAAACATGTGAAGAATTTTTACACCTATGAAACTTTATCTGTTTAGTCTGGGTGACAACTGTGCACCTCGGACTTAAAAAAAACAAAACAAACCCAGATCATTAATTTGACACACGGTCAAGTATTGGCGATAGAAGCGAACTATTAGCGTTCAACTGATGTCATTGTAGGGCTCACAACTAGGCTGCAATTAGATAAAATAAGATAAATCTTTATTGTCCAGACTCTGCCACATAGTTTTCGTGTTTCACCACACACACACACACACACACACACACACACACACACA